CCAATTGTACATCTCCCAATGGGGGTCATTACAACAGTGTCAAACAGACCTTACGGAGGAGGGATGAATAGGTGGGGGGAGATTTGACAGCAGGGGAAAACATTGCTGGTAGAAAAGGCCCCAATAACAACAAGTCCAATCGACACACACAGCCTTCAAACTGAACTGTGATCCTGAGGTTTTTGTGGAAAGTGATGGCCCATATCAGAAGTTAATAAGGAAGACATGGTGCAAAAATAATGAGAGAGCATGCATTAAAATATCCAGTGCAGGGCCCACTTCTGTGTGCATTAGATTACACTCCTCCTTGTTTTCTTAGGTTTAGAACTAAAATAGTTAATTTTAGACATAATTGCAAACAAGCAAGCAGACTCAAAACTACATCTTTAAGAAAGCTGGGAAATGGCAATATTATTAGGGCTTATTCAAGGTAGTAAACCTGGCCATAGATGAAATATTAATTAAAGGTTTCATTCAGAGCCTCCAGAAAATGATTATTCAACATAGCAATGACATTTTGCCTGATTGTATAATGAAGTTTTATCTTACTATGCAGTGATGCTTAGACCAAAATGCTAGTGTAAGAAGATCACAGAGCTTTAATGATGGGCTGAAACTTGGGAAGGGCATGTGTGTATTAATATTTGGCTTTAGATAGTATGCAAATCACTTCAATAACACTGTGCTTGTCTTCCATATGAGATCATGGATAAACAGTCAACAGTCTTTATTTCATTGTTGGGTAGATCATCAAATTAGTGTCTAAATTAAGGATCCAATTAATCTCTATTAAATAATTTGTCAATATAAATAAAATCATTGCAATTTAAGATAATAATGTTTGAGGTTTGGGTTGTTTTGGTTTTTTTTTATTTTATTACCATTAAGAACAGGGTTCTTTATCAATGTCTAAATTGCAGCTCTCTTAAACTGGGAGGTATCCAGAATTCAGCTCTTGTAGCAGGCCTCCCTTTCCTACATATGCATAAAAATGCTTCTTTATCTTTTGTGAAAATATCTTTTTTTTGAGACGGGGAACTACAAATTCCACTCCTCCCATTCACACTGAGGAGAACATTACTCCCTAAACAGCGCCACTTAATCCAAAACAAACAGTAAGATATCTAAAATATCTCTTAGTTTACTGAGATGTAAGAGTCAGAGAGAGAGTACCTCCTTCTTAGGACAAAGGAGGAAGAGAGGGTGGATTCAAAGGGACTGTATTTGAATGGATCTAGCTCATCTCCAAGTGCCAGGGTCAAATTTATGAGTGTTTCCACAGAAAAAAATGTGTCAGAAGGACATCTCGGATTGGAATGCAGCAGAACTGATTCCCACAAGTCCAGAAATGTTGCTGGGTTTCATGACAGAGCTGTTAATCTTATAAAAAGTAACTTTTGAATGTATTTTGCACTCGGTGATGAGCCCTCCTAGCAGTGACCTCAGTGTGAGCAGCCCTCCCTAGTAATATGGCTGTGGAAATACTGCTGGAGGCAGGTCTTGCGCTGCTTTCTTTTGTTTCTTCACTTAGTCTTTGCAGAAGGATACTACCAGAAGCTGAGAAAGGCCATAAAACTGAAGACATTGTTTTAAATCAAAAGGCTCTTAGAGGTTATATTAAAGGGGCTATCTGTGTTCCCAGTAGTTACTATAGCAATTACACAGTGAAAACATCTAGGCAGGTGCATAATTTAAAAAGTAAAAGGACAATCTCCCCCTCTTTAGGAGAGGTCAGGCTTTATATTTCAGTAGGTCTGTTTGACTAAAGAAGAAGAAAAAATGAGGGCAGAGTGAAAGAAGGAGTGGGGAAGGATAGAAAAAAGACAAGATGTGAGAAAAGAACGGGTAGTGGAAAAAAAACAGGGAAGGAGCGTGAAAGGGAGAGATGATATCTGGCTTGGACAAGAGGTGAACCACAAACCTAGTCATTGCCAGTGTCCAGGAACAAAATAACTTATTTGTCCACCAGTGGCAGGGCAGCTGCCAGTGTGGAGGGACAGCGTCTTCCCCGCACCGCTCTGCACAGCACATCCCCACCCCGCTTCCAGATCTGCCCCTGTCGCTGTGCTCTGTGACAGAACTCAGGGTGTTCTCGCAGTCCCTGTGGTTGTGGTTAGGAAACTGCCGCATGTTGGGTCTCAATAGAAAAAGTATTTTAATACAAGAAAAACAGGAAACTCAAGCACGTTTTGGGTCTAATTCAATTTCAGTTCCCTGATTCCTTTATTTTCTATGGACAAAAGGCATGTAACAAAATTATGAACTGGGACGTGAAGAAAGCAGAACTGTGCACATGACAGATAAAGCTGGCTCATTACGTGAAAACTGAAGCCATGCAAAATATAAACTCAGGACAGATTAAACCACCTCTCATCCAAAAACCAGTTAGGACCAGTCAAGCAAATCCCAGCACCTGGACGAAGTTTGAGCAGGACGTATATGAACTGGCACAGGGCATGGTTTCACAAGAGTAGACCAGATTATGAAGAAATGCAAATATTCTGTCTTCATTTTAAACTGAAAGCAACCTCTGGTTTAGGAATCTCCAGAGACAAGGTACAAGGTACAAGGTACCAGTTCAATGTCAGTCACCCTACACTCTCTTTGCAAGATCGTCAGTGCATTTTAGTGCTAATGTATTAAAGCATGACACTAGCTCAAGATAACCACATTCTATTGAGAAACATAACAATAAAAATAATGGAATAAGCACTTCATGCAATTTGCTAGGAATGTAGTTTGGACACGAACAGCCAAAACAAACTAAAATGGCAAATGCAAGGACTCTATTTTGAAAAGATCTGCAAACAGACTCAGCAGCTTTACAGGGGGTCATATTTTCCACAAGGATAAACTGTCCTTGAACAATATTGTCAGTGTTCTGGGTACTAACGTGCTTTCTTTTCATATGGATTGTTCTCACCTCCGCTCCTTTTCCTTGAACAAATATTTACTGTGACCAATAAAATTCTGCTCTCCATTTATGAGTTAAATAGCATCGCATTCCCACACGCTGTTTTATATACCCATACATAGAGCATATGTGCCCACAGAAAATGACATCTCTAAAGTACGTCTGGTGGAATTATTTTTAAGCAATCATATTCACTGTAGATTTCAATCCTGATTCATCAATACATTTAATTCACTGTGGTATTAGATCTGTGAGTGAGAGGAATGAAGCATTCAGCTCAAGAAAGGAGGTGACATATTTCACCAGAGATAAAGCGTTTCTGTGAGTATGTGAAAGAGTGATGCCTGATGCAGTGCCCGTAAGCATGGGAGTAAACACATCATCTTCACAGGGAACTACTGGCACGTTTAATTTTAAGAAAGCAACCAAAAATATTTTTAGTGAATTATTCATACACTTCTAAATGTGTACAAGGGTTTTACCAGGTCAGATTTTAAGTGGGCAAATTACAGCCTGCAAGATGCCAACAGGCTATTAGTGATAAGCATGCTGGACTACTATCTGCTATTCATACATTATTCACCTATTGTTATTTGCTGCTCATCATCCTGAAAATCTGAGTAAACAAGTCAGGAATGGAAAGAATCCTTACATGTGAACCAAGAATGTCCACTCCAAACTATGTATGAAAAAAAGGGTAAAAACTCCACAGGTTAACATACATAAACACAGTGCATCTGCATCATCTAAACCTTTTTCTTTTTTACAAGGGGGGGACACACCCTCGGCACACCAGGGCCCACCAGTGTTTCTGCTGTGTTTATATAGCTTTGGGGAAGTCGGGGACCATGCTCCACAAGTGGGTCCTTTTTGCTGAATTCCCCTCCAGGAGCTCAGGGGCGAAGAGGAACACATCTCTCATGAACACCTGCAACCAGCAGTTCCTTCCTCAGGCACTTAAATAGATTTTCCTCACACTACAGTAAAATAAGTTACCGGCTGTTCCCCTTCATACACCCCAAAATATAAACAGTGGTACTAAGAAGAAAGAAGGTGAGAGCACTAGCAGGTTTTTCTGGGATGCAAAAGCAGAGCTACATAAAGCACTCACGTCTATGCTGGAGTTGGATTTAATTTCCAAATCCCAACTGCTCTGCGGTATCCCCCAGAAGAGGCTAAGGCTCAGGCTGCAAAGCATGCCTAGAGTCTATCAGACGCATGCTCATTCTCAAAACCTTGTTTAGAGTTGTTACTAGTCTTACAGATCCTTCTCAAGTCTTCTGGTCTTTAGAGGGGAGGCTCAGCAGCCACAGACCACCTGTTGGATGGTCCCTTGGTGAAGGAAGAGGTGCACCCACACAGAGAGTGACACGGACCGATTGTGTCAGTATGTACAGTCTCTTAACAACTTGATTACTGGACCTAACTTGGTTTAGGGCCTAGCTAAGCCTGCAGTTTGAAATGATTAGCATAGGCATGCTTTATTTTCTATTTTACACTTATGTTGGTTGTGGACAAGCTTTGGTTTTAGTCAAGCTAACCAGACTTCAGGATAAGGTGATGGCCACAAGGCAACCACCAGGCTGAGCCCAATGGCAAGGGAAGCACTGACTTCTCTGAGGGTAGAAGGAGGAGAAAAGTATCAGCACAGGCCCTTGGTCAAAGCAGAAGAGGGTGGGAATTCCCTTCCAAAAAAGAGACATCTGCCCAGCATGAGGAAGGACATGTTAAACAGCCCACGCTACCTGTTCTGTACTGCGAGATGCACACCCTCAGTGTCAAATGCCAGTGAAGTGCTAAGCAGTGAGAAAATAGTCTCAACCACCAGCACACTGGAAACAGCAAAAACTATTGGCTTTGGCACATGTGCAAAGCATATATGCCTGGGTTGCCTGGAATAGCAAGAGATACAAAATGCAGGACTGCCAGGAATGTTGGTGAGAGGGACTGGGGAGATGCTGCACTGCTGGAGAGAAAAAAAGGGTATGTGCTGAGCTTAAAGGAAATACAGATGATTTCCTGAGCCTTGAGAGTGAGAATTTCAGATCCATCAGGCCAAGAAAGGGGAACTACATAGAAGCATAGAATCATTTAGGTTAGAAAAGAATTTTAAGATCATTGAGTCCAACCATAAGCCTAATACTGCCAAGTCCACCCTAAAGCATGTCCCTAAGCACCACATCTACACGTCTTTTAAATACCTCCAGGGATGGTGACTCAACCACTTCCCTGGGCAGCCTGTTCCAATGCTTGACAACCCTTCCGGTGGAAAAAATTTTCCTAATTTCCAATCTAAACCTCTCTGGGTGCAATTTGAGGCCATTTTTTTTTGTACTACTGCTTTTTACTTGAGAGAAGAGATCAACAACCACCTTGCTACAACCCCCTTTCAGGTAGTTGCAGAGAGTGAGAAGGTCTCCCCTGAGCCTGCTTTTCTTCAGGCTAAATAGCACCAGTTCCCTCAGCTGCTCCTTATAAGACTTGTGCTCTAGACCTTGCATCATCTTGAGACAGAGTCATAACACAGTGATTAGGAGACTTTCTTGTTCACTGTGTTGCTAGGTTGTGTCTTTTGTACTGAGCAACAAGTGTTTTCTGTACTAACACCTGTGTGACAAACGATTTTTGAAAGCTGTGTCATCTGAAACCTTACCTGTCTCATTGAAGCAAATTTACTTCCTATCAGATACCAAAGATCTTTACTTTTACTTTAACATCGCTTTCTTTCCAAACTCACAAACCCTACTTTACAGAGAAAACACCTTTTCATCTATTATTTGGCTAGTATCAAGCAATTATCAACAATAGCATAGTACAAGTCATACTCTTCTGTGTACATCATGCAATACATACAAAAACGTCTCTCTTTTAACTAGTCCCTAATCAAGCCACAGTGCTGGTTTCAGAGGCTTTTCCAGCACTTCTGAGAAGAGACGGTAGGCTGAGTTAGACAGCAGTGGCAAGCAGCCAGTGTGCAGGTGAGAGAATAAAGAGACCCCAACCTTCATCTCTGCCCAGCATCCCCATATGCCTGACTCCTTTCAGCCTCTATAAATAAGATTTCATTGATTTTCATTAAAGAGATCATATTGAACAACTCCTAGAAAGTCATTAAGCATTGTAAATAACTAAAATAGATATACTGGTGTCAAAATACACTGAATAATTGCAATTTGTAATGCATGAGCTTTGCTGTGCCAGGTTTGTTAACCTACTAAATTGCAAAATTAATTCAGCCACAAAAGGTTTCGCAGTCAACTGTGCAAATGAGCATGGTTCTGTTGCAGTGCTTTGTATTTCAATACTGCCTTTAATCAGAGGATCTCAAAATATATTTGATCCATAATTAATAAGATGCACTATATTTCCTTGAGCTATGCAAGTCTGACCATAGTGTATGCTGTACTAGTCTCACTGCACTTTTCCACAACTGTAACACTGCAAGTGAGCTCATGCAATAGCAGTAAGCTCTGACCATTGCCTTGTTTCTAGTTTATAGATGCACTAGCCATGTGAACATGCATATATACATATGTCTCCACTGTTATTCTTTCCCTACCTGTGCAGGCACAAAGGATACAAGTTGGTGGGAGGACAAAACTTGCAATAGTCTCTTCCAAGATGCCCAGATCCAGTGAGATCCTCCAAAGGAGGAACAGCAACGGAACTGAAATGTGGATGTGTTTAAGTACACATGTGGATGCATGCACTGAAAATCAGTACATCACACTGCAGAATCATGTAACATCTGAGACGCAGACAGGTAAGCCAAAAATTTACCATTTAAAAACAACTGCATATGTAACTTGTCTTGCTAACCACACAGAAGATTATTCATGGTGCAAGAGATTTAAAAATCCAATTTAGTTTCAGCCATGTATTCTTATTTAGTTTCAACCATGTATTTTATTTAAAGGCTAGAAGGAAAGTATTATTTTACAGATAGTCAGAGACACCCGGAGACTTACTTTCCCACAGTTGCATTGTAAGTCTGTGGCCACACTGGCAATCGAATCCACTCAAATTCCTATTAATTCTGCTTGCAACATCAGTGCCTAAGGACTACTGAGAATGAAGTGCCTTCCGTCTTGCTAGGCTCTGTACACACAGAGCTGCAGCCAGGCCCTGCCTGGAACTCTCACAGCCAAAACAAAGAACGATGGAGAAAGGGCTGGAGGAAAGGCAGTAACACAGCCAGCAAATTGTGTGATAGAAACAACTTCAGAAGAGGTCCATGCATGTTTTTTTCTTAACAGGGTTTAGATGAATTGGGGTGTGTAGAACTAAAAGAAACAAGGAACCGATGAGGAACGAAGTAAGGAGAAATAGGCCAGGAGAGCTGAAGATAAAACAAAGCAGACAAGGAGCAAAAATGAAGTGAAAGGACTGTGGGGAGTGGGAAGACACAGACAGGAGGGAGATGGAGCTCTAGCGAAAGAGGATGGGGCACAGAAAATCCTCCAGAAGTGGAGCAAGCTCTCACAGCATCTAACAGTCCCTGTTTCAGCAACTCTGGTAGCTGTTCCTCTCTGTGGTTCAGTGGAGGCACAACTTGTGTCCTAACAATCTCTGAGCAAAAGAACTCCCTGCACAACTCTGTGCTGAGGGAAGGGGGAGGGATGGGCAGTGGCCAGAGCCCATCTACTTCCCCATCTCCTCACAGCCAGCTTGGCCCCGGCTGCCTCTGCAGCTGCTCCGCCAGCTAGAGAGCTCGGCCACAAGGCCAACCACAAGCCCAAACTTCTTCTCCTGTTAGTTGGTTCACCACTTGTATCTCACACAACAGGCCTGTTGTGAGCACCCTGCAAACATGTTGAACACTCCTGCTTCTCTTCCATATCCACGCCATTTCCCTTTCTGGTTCAGATAAGCAGAAATATATGCAACAGACGAGTGAGGAAGAGAGGAAAGAGGAGAAAAGATGTATCCTTCTGGCTCATCACCTAGATCACCTAGATGGTCTTTTAGGCAAGTGTGCTGACAAACATGCAATCTCTCTAAAAGCTGTTCCTATTAAACCCAACTGAATTTGAAGGACAGGCTTCTACCTTTATTAGTTTTTGGATGAAGCTTTCAAAAAACAAAATTTCCAAGTCTACTGTACTAGCAGGCACCCTCTTCCTGCAAGCAAAAGGACACAGGCATACAGCAGATCATAGTTTATGACAGCTGGAAACAGAAGATGGAGGCATTGTCACTTACCTCCATAACGCTGTCCGCTGTGGGAGGAAATGGAGTTCAAGGGTATAGATGTACAACCATTTCTTGTGGTACCTTGCCAATCCCCTGCCCCTGAGTCTATTATGATTAATGCTGATCCACCACCTGGAGTCTGTGTTGGCTGTTCATACTGTTTTTCATGGCGAGTAACCATAGTAAGCATGTGTAATGGATCTCCACCCACATTTTTGAAGAGTTCTGGGACTGCTGGAAAGATGCAGTGAAGTTAAACTGGGCCCCAGAACGCACCATGTAACCGAGTCCCCCTGGATCCGCTCTCTGCTGAAGGGCTTGTAGCAAAGGTTTCCTCTCCCTCGTGGATATATTAGGAGTAGCAGCAAGAAAGGAGTTACAGCAGGGTCACTTCTCAACAGGCAGCAGGTAAGAGAAGATATTTTCTGCTCCTAAGCCACTCTGAATCCTCTTCAGCAGTAAGTTTCCAGAATCCTTCAGACAATAGAACGCAGTTCACTGCATCTAAAAGGGTGACCTTCAAACAAGATATCAAAGTTAGGGCAACAGGATTCTGAAACATTTCAAACAGTTTCTTGTGAGTCATCATTAAAATGGCCATTTGTGGCTAAGAACAAAACCCTGAGTAAAGGTTAGCCCTCAAATGCTTTTGAAAAGCCATGTGCTGTGTTAAACAAAACCATTACAACACAAGCTGCAACCTATTTCAAACATCCAGAGCCAGAGATCATATAAAACTATCAGATTAGATTTGTATTGTAAAGTTTCTACTAAAATAAAGTCACGCCTGATAACACTGATATACTACACGCTATATGTAGGTAAATCAATATTATCATTACCCCCCTGAGTGCAATATTCAAGCAAGGTCTGGTAATCAAAGCAGACTGCATTTAACAGAATATCAGAAATATTTATGACATCTTTAAACTATTGCAAGCCTAAAAGCTAAAGCCCTGATGATTCAAAGTACAAAAGCAAGATTTTGACAGCGCTCCATAGAAAGAGAATTTTCTTTCTCCTTTTGGCACACCACCGTCAGATCCCTTGCATGCAATCCAGCCCTACAATAAATATCCAGGCCACATAAAACACAAAACTTCAGCTGCTGCAAACTACCATCACTTGCTTGACTTCAGCACAACTGTCCGCAGTATCTAAGGACCTGTCCCAAGGAACATTTTCCATCAGAAACTGAAAAGCACCAGTTTTAAGGTAGCTTTTGACAGATTAACAAGGTTGGTGTTGTTCTTAACATCCTTTAGTTCATGACAGGTCTTCAGCATTTTTATATAACAACAACTGTTTAAACTCATCTGCAAGGTGTTCAGGCCAATGCCAACACACAATATTGCCAGCCAGTGGTGTTCAGGTCTTATAAATTATGACATTTAATTGACCAAACTAAAAGCCTAGAAACTCAGTTGAGATTTTAAACTTCACCCCACAGAAGTGCAGATTATAAACTGGGGCTGTGACTGAGGGCCTGCCTTCCCAGCAAACCCCACAGATTCTCCCGCCTCCCTCCACACCTAACTTTCACAGATAGATGCTTTGCTTCCAGGCTGACAGTGCTGTGAATGTGATGAACAGAGTCTGGTTTAACAACATACTGGTCTTTCTGTCCAGTTGCTAAATAGGTAGGTCAGTAGGATCAGAAGTTTGGTAAAGTTTACAAAATAAAATCTGCTATTAAGTTTGTCTGGGTGGTGTTTTTTTACTAAACTGGTTCATAAGAAGACTAATCTACTCATCTGTTCATTCTCAAGAAATATAAACTCCTTAATTCATTGCATATTTAATTGGAAAACCTATGGCCCTGTGATGTCTCCAGAGCTCTACCACCCAGAGAAGCACTGCAATTTGATGACACATTAAACAGTGTCATTAGTAGAAGCAACTTCTAGATATAAACACTGAAAATCTTTACAAGCCAGGGTCCATTGCTCATTGAAGAAACTGCTGGTTGCTACCATCCCTCTGAAAGAGGTAGCTGTCCCCACTGCAGAGCTCCTCTTCATTCTTATCACAAAGGCTAGCAGGTTAATTTAACCCACTGAAAGCTCTTTACTTTAAGCTGGCTGACACTGCCCTGAAGCAGATTTTCAATGTCTCTTTCCAAATGGCTCTGCTGGGGCAACAGCATTATTAAAAAAAAAAAAAAAAAAAAAAAAAAAAAAAAAAGTTGGTAACCAGTAACAAAAAGGAAAGAACATCTGAAACCAGTGTGCTGTTCTGCAGTAGATGTCTACCACATCCTAAAACACAAAACATCATTCAAAGATGAAATCTGCAGGCAAAACCAATCTTTGCCTGCCAGTGCCTTTCCTTTCAAATAGATTAAAGAAAAAGTAATTGCAGTGAAAAACTACTCCTCCTTTACCTAAACAAAATCTGGGGAAATTCTAGGAATACATACCTTGGAGAAAATAAATACTTTCTGGAAATTAGGTTCTGGAAATTATTAACAACTAATCAGCTTCTCTTCTGGTAATGCTAGAATTTTAAGCTAAGGAAAAAGACAGTAAATTTCCACAGATATATCTGAATTACACTTCTCTAGCGCTCAAACCTGAATGGTAACTTGATAGCAGAGTTTGGGCACAGCAAGATTTTTGCCTTGATTTCTGTTTCTTTCCTGCGAAACCTGACGGTATTTTTTCTTTTTTAAATTCAGGCTGGTTTATGGTCTTCAATTTTTATTTTCTGTATAACTGGCCAAAATGCTGAGTATTCTGTTCATATACACAAATTTCAAACTCAGTTTCCAAGGCTTTCTTCTGGAAAATGCCAACTTCCTCTAAAACACTCCTTTTCAATGGGGAAAGAAAAATAAATTGAGTTTCTTCTCTTTTCTCAGGATAGATCTCATTTCAGATGCAGTAATTTGTGACCTTTTATTCCAAATCTTGGAATAGTAAGCCAAGATGCTTTTCCAATTAGCCAGTTCTTGAAATAAAGAGGAGGAGGCACTTCCATGGAGCTTGCATTGGTCTGTAGGTTCCTCCTGTAGCTGTTGATGTAAATCACCTCTTGATGACAGCAGTGTTGGACTTTGCAGGAAAGGAGCCTTGAAAGAGTGGGCATAACCAGTAGAGAATAAAAACCTTTTCAAAGAATTTAAGACTTCTATTCCACTCTGCCAGGTCCTTACTCTCAGCACATCTCAACACAAATATAAATTGTGCTGTTCAATACCAGTATAATTGACTCCTTTATGTTCCCCTCATCCTTCTTCTTTTAACGTTAGTCCTATGGAAACTGAAACCAGGTAACTTCTGTTCAACCTAGGCATGGAAACCAACACTGTGTTATGCAGACAAGCAAGGATCTCCCTGATTTCAAAAGCAGTCTGCAAAACCAAGTAAGACCAGTCTAACCTAGTCAGTCCCTGGGTGAGGTTACCCATGCCCCTTAGCAGACATCCCTCAGCTGTGACCTGCCTCTTCCCTGCTGCTGCAACCCTGGGTCTTTTCACACCAGAAAACAGCACTTATGCCAAATTGTGAAGTGGTTTTATGAGGTGGAAAGGCACCAGCTAGGGGCTAAAGAAAGGCCAATAAACTCCTCTAACTTGTAAAAAAATAACAGATTTAAACCCAGGTCAACTGAGGTGAAGGGCAAGTGCATTAATCGCCTGTATTAACGAGGCTCTGTGTGCCTGCGGCAGCACTTGATTTGAAAAGACAGTACGTCTTGCTGTAAATAAGACAAATAAACAGCAGCTACAACAACAAATCTTCCCCCAATTTCTTTTACTTTTCATTAAACTAGTAATCTGATTTTTATTAAGTCCTCTTCGAAGTCCGTACTGGCCACCCTTTATAACTGCGCCTGTTTACATGGCACATATACTCTCACACATATATTACAGTCTGATGAATGCCTGGAAAGGAAGTTCAGCCAGTTTTTTTCTTAAGTGATAATCGAAGAAATCCTCCGTCACGTGTTGCAGCAGTGTGAGTTGGCCATACCAGGACGAAGAGTCATGCAGATGTTACCCAAATGCTTCCATTAACTTAATCTTCCTCAGAAGAGCCCTTCTGCTGCCAAGTACTTAAGAGTGTCACTTGGGATTTAGATGCCATTTTTGTTCACTACTGAAGACTGGTCATGTGTAGGAATCTGCAGCCCTGATAATAGGGTTTACAGAACACCATGAAAATAGATTACTGGCTGCTGAAAACATTTAAAAAAGACAATGTTACCTTTTACTAGTCTTAAAGTGCTTTCTGGCATGGAAGGCTTAATGGCTGTTTATTCCGGTATGTTTTCTGAAATGCCAGCTTAGAACAAAATAAGGATCATCATAATAATTAGAGATGCTGACAATATGATACAAGAGTCTAGGTCATTATATGTTTCCCTTCACATCATTTTAAAACATAAAACTCTATTTTGTGATCAGAAAATGCATCAGACTTTTTCAATTGTCCTAGCATACGCTGTTATCTCAGTAATGAAACCAGTTTTACTTTTATCCTTTTTTAACTCAGTTGTTATGTGGGAAGATGTAGTAGTATAAAATAGCAGGAAATAGTATGAGTAAATTTAACTTGAAAAGTTTAGTATGTGTTTTAGAGAAAAGATTAACAAGTCCTATTTTTTTTCAACTGTCTTTTTATCTCCATTTTTTTCATCTTGCATTTGCTTCAGCCAAGCAATTCCAACAGTTCAGAAGGACAGATGTTCCATCTCATTCTATTCCCAGACAAGTCACTCTGTAAAATTACATTTCTTTTGAAACATTAGTACGACACTTTAAAGACCATCAGAAGTTTTAAAGGAGAATTGCAGAGGAATAATCAGCAATGTGTTTGGATCTAGTTTCTGTAACTGTTTTTTTTTAGTTGCAGTACCACTCCTCAGCGAGATAGAGTTTCAAATTTATTTTCCACCTTGTGGTTCTTCCTGGTTTGCATCTACATAAGTACCACAAGCCTCACTACAATCCATGCAGAGTATGTGTATTTGTGATATTCAAGGGTGATGTGTTCGGGGATGTGTTCAGTGAACCAAGGCATACCAATACACCTCACAAGGAGAAAAAAATGATTTAAAATACACTACTATGCTGACTAGCTAATCAAAGCCTACTCAGTAAGGACATTCAGATCACACAGCTGCATTTCATATCATCACTGTTCATCTGCTTGTGCTGATACATTTCTACAACAAGGCCAGATAGGTAGAAACCTTTGGTCAATGCTCTCAGGAACCACACACCTGCACTGGCTCTTCCTGAACAGGTTAGTGATGGCAGAAGAATTAAATACAAAGTCTCAAGAAAAGCAAACCAAGGTTTAAAAGCAGCCACTTAACAAAGTGAGCAACTCTCATGCACAAATCACTCCATGTGGGTGCATCTATGTTACTGCTTTGTCTGGATCACAAGGACCCTTTTGAGTCGAACCTCCCAATCCTCCTCATTTACCACACTTGAGCTCACACTGCTGGGTGGTCTCAGAGCTAAACAAGAAAGATATGTTTCCCAAAGCCCTCATTTAGCCACTTAGATTACTGACATTCTGTTCATGGGACTAGACTAGCATCAGCCTGAAGCACCCTCCTGAAATGTGCACAGCGTAGGCACCCAGCCCAGAGCACCGACAGTTTCCTTCTGCAGATGTGTTGTTATCCATCTGCACTGCTTCCTAACGTGGACTCACAATCTGTATTGCGTCAGATGAAAGGCCCGTTACTATTACGGTTTTAATTTCCAAGTTCTTCAGCAGGTACGAACACTGATGCTTGTAAAATGGAAATAACACCTTACCTGCATCTTACACGGTTTAAGTCAGAACACGCAACCTTTAGGAAAGTACAGAATTGGGCCCAGTATCTCAAATCTTAATAATAACCGATCAAATCAATTGACTATAACTCATATGAGCTATAAATATATATTTGATTCTGGCATATAGAAATAAATTTCAAATTAAGCTCTTAAAATCCTATTCATTATAGTGTCTTCCTAGGCCAATGATTCCTCAGAAAATACAGACAACTTTACTAACGCTGCCAGTGTGAATTTGTTGCTTAAAGCCCCAAACCTGAAAATATTCACACATGAAGAAAAAACTCTTTGCACATGAACATTTTATGTAACACCAGTGTTGCATACACATAGTAGACCTTAATGCATATATCATCATTTTGAGATTAAGGCACATAATCAAGATCAAGAGCTTCACAGAGAAAGGCTCACGCATCCTGTTATTCTGTTACCAAGATTCACCATATGAAATGGTGATAGGTGAGTTCAGGCCAAAATATTCTGCTAAGCCTCCAAGAGACACCCGGCTTTATCCACCTCCCCATATCAGATGCAGCTTGTTCAAGGCACACTGAAGAATTTGATTCCTAGCTTTTGAACTTCAAAGGCACCACTACAAATAGTGGCAACGTTCTTTAACGTTTAACTTGGACTTTTTTTTTCTCTATTCCTAGCTATTTTGGAGTTAAATCACCTAAGATTCTTCTACTGTCAAGGGAAAGAAACAGGACTCCTCAGTGTATCACCTTTATGTGATCTGAACCCAACTTTTACAGAAGGACAGTGGACTATAAAAATAACCAGGTGCAACAGTGGGAAAATTCCTGCCATCTTAATGTCCCTAGGAATTTTACTATTATTTCAACATGAACTAATGAAGTGAGGTTTCAAGGCAATTGTAGATACCCTTTAGTTATTTTGCACTATTTACAGCAGCACTTTGTCTTCTCTCCTTTCTCTAGCGAGAATTAAAAGAAAAAGAAAGGATGCTTATGTTTGAGTGCAGAAATAGAAAATGGTTATTGTGTTAACCTCCCTGAAAAGCAAGATAGCACTCAGTGAAAAGTGTATTAGGTCAAATCCAATTATTTAGTAACTCCAAAGAGGTCAATAGAATTGCAGCACAGATGAATTTGGTCCAGTATTGCAAATTAAGAAAATTGAGCTAAATTCTGCCCAAGGTACATGCACTGAAGTAAGACTAGACATTTAGCAGATAGGAAAAAAATTAGCTTACACCACACAGGATCAAGTCATGCTTGCTCTGGCAGAGTAAATCTCTTATCAAATGCAGTGGACCTACGCCTCCAATTTGAAGCAGCAAGATTTGGATTTTTCTCTTTACAGTTACATATAAGAATGTGATCACATTAGGATGATTTTCTGTCATCACTTTTCCTTCAATTACACAACAGAATACAGAGGGTAGGAGATATTATGAAATCACAGTCTTGGACTGTATCCCAAAACAAGGATTATATTAAATAAAAAGGGAAATACAAATTTGTTTCATGACTGTGGTGCTTCATTTTTACTTAGATAATTCTAACAAAAGTAATCACTCATGCCTCATTTACAAATGTGCACATAATGAATATGGGATGGAAGATCTTAGTAGCCTTCCAGGAAAAATGTGGAAAATACATGCTCCCTAATAAAAACAAAAGCTGCTTTTATTATTCCATGACTAATCTTATTAATCTAATATTGATACAATAATAGACTAAGATAACCTGTAGCTCCAAAACACAGAAATAGCCCCTTCCTTCACTCACTTCAGTGTGTTATACTTTCCTCTCTACAAAACCTATTGCTCAGCTAGAAAGCAAACTTTCATCTAATACTATATTGCGCTAGTTACAGCTAATGCTCTACACTCAGAAATGCCAAAACTACTTCCTTTATCATTAAATGTAACAGAGCTTATCAACTTTCAAAATCCTGCAGGTATTCTTAGAACTCAGCATAACTGGAAATTGAAACTGGCATCCTCATAGCTGTCCAGCCAGCCAGTTCTTGAATGCCACTGAGCATGGTACTTACCTACTTTTGAGGTTATGGGCCCCAGTCTCCCCCAGAATAATCCATCAGTACTCACAGAAAGAGGATACTAGTGTGGGTTTTTTCAGGCTGAGCCCTGAAAGAAAAATATGGGAAAATCTTAAGGAAAAAACTTCCTGCATGATGATAGCAATTTATCTTCAAGTATCATCCGCTTTTTAAATTTTCAGACACTAGAAGGACTAAAATATCACATAAATGTTACATTTTAAAAAAGGAAAGTCCTGGAAGTATCAAAAATAAATGGAGTTCTCAGGGGCAAATTCTGCACCCTTTCAGTGGGAGTCAGCCTGAGGGAGTGGGAGTGGAGTCACACTAATTGCTAACAAAGTCATTCGGTTCACTCCTAGGCTGGTACTAATTTCATTATTACACTGTATAGAAAAGTGTAATTATTTACAAATAATTTCACAAATAAATTGCCTGAATTTACACATGAATAATTCAGCCCAAAGTTAAATTTTGCTCTGGAAAAGGCATTTTTCAGTAGCTCATAAAGGCCCAGACTTTAAAAACAGTAACTGATGCAAACGTTGCCTCTGTAAATTCTGTTGATCTTATGTGAGAATTGGTTTAACATTAACAATATATGCCACACAAAAACTCATATGGGCTGAACATTGCAAGGCTGCCAATTTAATTTGAAATGACTTGACAGAAAATCTCTAGGCCACCAAATGCTATTATAAAGCACTGTATTCTCATTAAAGGTCTGAGCCCTTTTTTTTCTCCCTGAGGGCAGACTCCTCGTGAGGCTGTCCCTCTGGCATAACATGTGATAGAGCTAATCTGTCTTCACTTGGACAGCATTGCGGATATGCAAACCCAGGTGGCACTAATAGGTTTACAGTAATAACTATGGAATTGGATACAGTATGTTACACTGTGAGAAATTCCCACAGATCAATTTTTGTGGTGAAGGTTAACCAACAGACATAGAGCCGTAATATTCTTTTTTCATGGGTCTGTTAACAATTTTATGGTTTTAAAAATAAAAGAAGAAAGACTCTCCCATATTTGGACAGGATATAAATATTTAACTTTTCAAACATATCTGCAATATATGTGCATAAAAAATGCTCTCTTGGAAAGACAACTTCTGTTGTCAGTTATTCCAGCACAAAACTGGAGGAATTCCATTGGCTTCAAAGAAAGATACCAATATAAATGAGAGCAGAATATGCCCCCAAAATGTATTTAACATAATAACATGTCATACCGTTTTGTTCGTACATTTTAGTGGCACTTTTGTAACTTTATTATTGGAAATTACAATGAGAATAAAATTAGCTGCATAATTATAATGAATGCACTATACAATTGCAAATACCCTTGTTGTAGTAAAGCATTATAGGCAGAGACATAAAACTGTGATCTGACCATTTGTGGTCATTAGAGATCCCATGGTACTCTTTGTAAGATTAGGGGTTTTAATCTCAGTGTGCTGGCCAAATTCCAGCATGGGTAATTACATTCTCTTTACCTAAATTCCCTGCATTTTACCGAAGGTGGTTGCATTTCCATGGTGCATGAAGTGTTCCTTGCACATGGACTTTAAAATTCTGTAATACCCATTAGCATGAAAGGTGTTATGCAAGATGTGATATCCTTGTTACAATTAAGTTCAAGTACATTCATTCCAGAAAATAGAAAAAGCCATCTGTCAATCAACAACAACATTTAATGTACTGATTAAAAGCATCATTTCAGCTCAAGAGGCACTCCTGTATTGTGGTATGTTACAGTCTTTGCAGTCATAAATTCCATACCCATGTTAGTAGCTACCACAGATGGAACATATTGAGAAGTTAAACACACAGCACTGGTGACTGAAGAGGATGTATACAACCACACTGCAAATTCACCCAGCTTGTCAGCCCCCAAACAGCATTATTACCAGATCAAGCCAAAGCATCTGTCTTGCTTGAGACTAACAAAGAAATCTCCTCGAAGTGTAATTATCTAGGAGAGGGAGTTCTGAAATTGAAAACAAAGCCAGACAAAAGAAATACATTTCTCAATGCACAGCCACCTGAGCACTTCAAAAGTAGGGTACCTGTCTACCTGCAGCTAGGATGATGGGCCTACCCAAGCAATTTATTTCTCCCTCCGATGATTCAGGTAGTGCCTCCTACTTCAACACCTACTCATCCTCACTAGTAAGCAAAGACATATGGAAAGAGGGATGATGTACTATGCAGCACTGCAAGATGGTTTTCCAGCCCAGAATGCCACCTCATGTATGCCTTGTGCTTATGATTTTGTCAGCCATTTTGGTTCATCTTTCACAAAAAGAAATGGACTGGAAGCAAAACAGCATCACAAGAAAAAACAGTCATGAAAAATACTTCCAAGCCTTCCGTTCACGGGAATCTTTTTGCCACATTTTGACTCAGTCAGCTTTTCCAGTAAGAGGCTTGATATTCCTCAAGCACAGAATGAAATAATTAAAGTAGGTTTGAGTTTCATATGCTTAATTCACCTACTGAGGAGTAGAAAAACCTTTCAGAATTGTTCTAATCATTGATCCATTAAGTTATGGGACAGGTCTGAAGATGTTCACTTTAGCAGAATGGCATCTTCATTTGGACTGAGTTGCACTAGAACTAGTCATGTACAGTTCAACAGAAGTAATGTCTCAGAGTCCAGCCCGGGGAAACCAGACTTAAATATAAATATATATATATGTTAAGCAGTTAACAGACAAATCACTTGTGTTGAGCAGCGCCATGTGCAATGATTGACACTAAGTGCAGTTGGAAGCAGGAAATAACTGATTTTCAACTGATATTTAAGCAGCAAATCATTTACTATTGATTGTTATTAGGCAGACACTGTTGTACTGAATTAGCACAAAATGATCTGATACATAAAAAAACTACCATTAATCAAGGTAATAGTAAGTGAATTTAACTGCATGCTTTAAACTGTTCTTCTCATTTGTTTAAGCCTTCCACATCAATCTACACAGCCTGCTTACACAAGATACAATTTGCACCTAAGATTAATGTTGTTTTCTGTGTTTACAAAAAGTCTCATGTGGGCCCTCACATCAGAAAAATACTTTATACAGTGGTTTCTGCTAAAAGGTTGTTTGACAACTGATACCACGCAACTGCCACAGCCAACCCTTTTTCTCTCTAGAGAAAAGTAGAGGTATGTCAGCACAACATCTGATAATGATTTCAATAGCCTGCCTTTTTAATTTTGAATCTTTGGATTACCATACTACATCAGTATAATTTTTGCTTAGATATGGGATCATATTCAACTTGTATATGACTAACTTAGATATCACAACCAGTGTGGTGTTCAAGTTCAAGAGAATAGCATCATCCATAATCCAGAGCTTTCAGACCTGATTCCATATGCAGGCAATGAAGTTAAATTAAGATGGTGGAACTTAAAACACTCCAATGCTGTATTCCCATTTATGCTTTGCATTGCACAGGCACAGTAAGATCTGAACTGACCCTATACAGTGTAGGCATATCTGTGAGGCATACAGATGGAATACAGTCTCCCTTTGATCCATGTCTTGACAATAAAGATGGAAAGACACCTCAAAAGCATCAATCCAATCACTTCAGATCTAAATCAAGTCTGGAGCTGCCAATCTTTTGGTGAAGTAAGATAAGACCAAGACAAAAACCTTCCAGGGATCATATCCTGGACACATTAAACAGATAAATGAAGTCAGAAACAAACTATTATGTCCATTGTTTATGAAGAAATGATACACAGAAATAGTGACTTGTCCAAACCCCCAGCAGACACCTAAGGAAAACCAGGAATGATTCTCAGTTCTATCAAGCTCTGGTTTGGTACATTACTTTTAAGATGCCTTCTTATCACATTGTGCATGCAAAGACACAGAATCCTCAATGTCATATCAAACAGGACCTTCAATTCTAGCAACATCTTTGAGCAACAGAGGAAAAAAAAATTATTTTCCATCAAAAAATTTAAATGAAAAATTTTCAGCAGATTTTTCCTACTTCTGAGGAAAAGGCCTGGCTGAATCTTCCAGCTTTAGAGAAAGATCTGACTGAGTTTAAAGCCAACTAATGAATTAGTTAATTCATGAACTGGCAGCTCCTGAAATGGTTGTCACACTTTCAGTTACCCACGTCCAAACCCTGCCTTCTACCTCAGTCCTTCCCATTTCAGTGAAATTTCACATCACCTGTTCCTATAACATCACAGCATCAATCTCTGAATTTATCTCAAACAGTTTTCTTTCCTTAAAAACATATGCAGTTTCTCATATTACATAGGCTCTTGAATCTACACCTTATGAAGTTTTACTCTTCGCCAACTCATCTTCACCTCTCCATCTTTTCTCCATCCCCAGACATCAGCAGTCATTGTTTTCCCTGGTTATGCAACCCACATTTCCCAATACAAATCACTGTTCTGCTTTGTTCTGTACCCACTTATCTTCCTTTACAACTCCCTTCTCTCGCTCTATCATCTGTCAAACAGCACAAGTTTCCCAACCTCTCCTCCCTTCCTTCCAAGCTATCTCTAAAATGCCCATGAATCCTCCTCCCATTCTCATATTTCTGCCCCCCTCTTTTAGGCTTTGCTCTTGCTTTTGTTGTTCACCAAGTTACTTTTCCCCTCATTTCTCATTCACTTGCAGAGCATTTCTCCCACTCTTAATCATAATGCTATAGAGAGATTTTTAAATCTGTTAATAAGAAATGTGAATATTCAACCCATGTATTTCACACAGCTCAACACCTATTGTCTCACTAAGCCAAGTCTATTGTAGGCTCCATGGGGCAGTAGCATTTTGTCCTTATATATCTGTATTGTACCAAGTACTCTCCTGGAGCTCAGCAAATAATAAAGCAGTTGTGTATCTTAAAGGAACGAGATAACACAGTAATAATGACCGTACACTTATGCAGTAACTTTTCTCCAGATGGATCCCAAAGCACTCTATACCATTTGCCAATTAACGATACAAAATGAAGTATTTACATAGGAATAATTTCTCCCACGAACAGTGGCATAATGCCAGCCATGCCTTAATTGCATGGAGTTACACAATACAAATTTAGGACAGGAAGTGAGGACTCACGTCATACTTCCAGGGAGAATTCAGGCTGGTGTATTATAATTACCAGATCCGGTTGTAAAATGCAAATAAACTCTCAATTTTAAAAATTACACTTTTTGCCAAAATTTTGGAAACATCTGAAACCATTTTTATCTGGTCAATAAAGAGAACAGTTAAACACATCCCAAACTCTGAACACTTTCAAAGATTGCTGCAACTTTTTTAAAAAATACAAAAATTGTTATACTCCCGAATAGCTTTAATAATACTCAAAACCGAAAACTACCCAGGACCTGAGCCCTATTCAACAATTGTCATAGGATTTTACTCATCATAAACTGGGACTTCAGATGACAGGAAATATCATGTTGTGGAAATCTAAACGAAGGAATTTAACTGTGCATTCACATATCCCGATTCAAATTATAACTTAAATGAATTAGCCTGATGAAAGTTGAAGTAATTCCTGCTCATTTTTTTCTACGCATTGACAAATTCACAGGCAAGTTTACCACTAATATTTAAACTAAATTTCCATAAGTAAAAGCAACATTTAGTTCTCAAAAGACTTTTAATTGGGTGAAATCCTGGTCGAATAATTCAGAATGTTTTCATTAACTTCAACACAGGTGGAGTTTCACCCACAGTCCATGGGAGAGAGGACTGAATAATGAAAAAAATATTCTGAATAAAATATTCACTGATTGCTCAAAATTTATGAATTATTTATTTGGAGAAGAGTATCCAACCATACATAAAGCTCATCAAAGAGGGGCAAATGTGTTTCCGAGTCATTTATTCAACAATTAATGGGAAAAAAAAAACTATTCACAAATGTCATTCAAATAGCTCTAGACCATAGTAACTTGGTTTCCAGTTGACTCAGTATGTCTTTTAGAAAAGTGCCAGGTTTTCATGCACACTAAGCTTTCTTTCATTATTTGAGATCCTCTTGTTTCTATTTTTCCCTTTACCCTAGCAAAATAACCTCTTTTTCCAGTACCACCGCCACTGTTGCAGGCCTGACTTGCTTTGACTGCAAGCCCAGTATGCAACCGCGGTACTGGGCTTGCAACCATCTCTCCCTTCGCCAAGAAGCCTGAGGCAAAGTAAAATGAGCATATATACATTTGAATTTCCGAATATATACTAGGTGGGGAGCTGAGAGGAAATCCACCACAAAACAACAGCATGAGTCAGAGGAAACGCACAAGAGGTGAGACAAGAGTAGGTAACCGCATTCCTCCACAGCCCCTCTTCCACCCACCTCTGTGCTTGGACCCGCACGCCTGGGGGGACCCGGGAGCACCCGCACACAGCCGGAGCAAATTTCCATTCTCAAGCCACAACATGATTCATTGCAGTCACTGGCCAACTAGGTTGCCGTTGAAAAGAAATCCTGGCATTTGATGTAATTATGCTTTCTTAACTATAGCGATGTTTAAAGGCAGAAAATTCATTTTGTTATCATTGTTTTTCCAATACGCATTTAAAATGTAGCATTGTAAACACTGGCTGGTGTTACTGCCTCAGTGGGATTTTCTCTGTGCCTTGAGCACAGCATAATGGAGTGCACTCATGTTTCAACAACTTGACACTTTTTTTTTTTTCAAATGCAACTTAAACAATAAAGGTCAGATTTAAAGACACAGCAAGACAAACAACTCTGCTTTATTTTTTTTTTTAAGTTATTCATTATCATTTAATGAGGATTTCCAGGGTACTGTAAACCATCAAAGTTAAACAGAAATGAACTGCTAAGTAGAATTTACCTGAAAAGGAGGGAGAGGTGGAAGAAGGGCTGTAAGACGCTCTGATAAATATGGAATTGGTCCTCTTTGTACCCAAGGTGTGCAGAAATCGGTGACTTATTTCTTGTGTTCTGAGTAAGAACAAAGGCAAAGTGAAATGAAAGAAGCAGAAAAGATCAGAGTCCAAGGCTGTATAAGAGCTATTTTAAAGCAAAAAAAAAAAAAAAAAAAAAAAAAAAAAGCGCCAGTATTTTTCATCCAGATCTGCTTTAAAATAATGGCACATAGACTTAGGTACAATATTTTCTTAATTTAGAATTTTATAATACAATCTGATTTGGCATCTAGAATATATAATCATCACCAAAATGTAAATGCTATAATCCTCGTGACAACATCTATTCTACCTACTCTTTTTGCTGCTATTTTGGCTTGCTTCTAAGAAATCATACCACACCAAGTACTACTTTTATTAATAAAGGTTAAGCATAGCAGAGTATTTATTTATTTATTATTTACCTCAATAAATAACTCCCTAGAAATGACGAATACACACAGTAATGTGCATGCTTTCATTTCCACATAATATACATCCATTAACACTCACTGTGCAATCCAAGTTAGCAAAGAGCTATGTGCCCTGTATCAATTGAAAGAGATTTATTTATCAGAGCATGATTTTAAAGGTAAGTACTTTTTGAATCCTTGGACTGTTCATTGGCCCGTATCAGAGAAGTGAGGTCTCAAGCCAGCAAGAAGCTAAAAAGTGGGTGGCGTGCAAGTCACTCCTTCAGTGGTATTTTTCCATCTGAGTCACACCTGAAGCCACGTAGTGCCAAGGCCAAGACTGGAATTGCTGCCTTTTGGGGAAGATTACAGCCTGGTGCTAACCTGTGTGAAACCAGCTGAAGGATGAGGTCACAATTGTGAACAAAAAGTGGAAATTTGGGTAACCTGATGATCCCCCACCAAACAGCCCTGGGGTTTAGCTCAGGCTTGGCAGGATCTCCAGTCGTCTGACCTCGCTGGTTATCAAGATGGGAGGAGATGAGGTGGATTGGTTTGTAAGGAAAATGAAAGGGCAACTGAATCCTGACAAAAACAACCTTCTTGAGACACCTGTGTCTAATGTCAGGAGTTAGTCTGTCTCCCAGGCACAACTTGTCACCATGCTGATTTCAACAGTGTTAAAGAGGAATACATTTGTTCCATTGATTACATTTTAAATTGCCATCATCTCCTCTCTATGCTTGTAGCATTAGACTGAGATCTCTTCTTAGCATTTATTTCAAGCAGCAGCCTGGCCACACATTACAGCATTCACGCTACTGACCATTTTAATCACCCAACCCCCTGACAGAAAAGAAGCCTCCTTCTTTTTCCATCCCCTCCCCAGCAGATCAATGTTCAGGTCCCATCTATTCTTTATGGGAATGACCCCTCTGTAAATATCCCATTACCTAATATTTACCACACTGGTGCAGAGTCCAAAAGGTAAATTTGAGAAGAGGTGATTTCAGCCCTCATAAACTACTGACCAAGAAATGCTTTTGGAAGAGCAGGCACATAGGATTCGTTAGCTGTAGCAAGGCTACAAAAGCCATTCACAACACCCTTGTTGACACTACTTTACTTCTTCGGGACTCCACTTGCTAATAAAACAGCAAAAGGATTAACCAAGAAGTTTCACAGAAATCACCACAAAATGCCTTAGCATTTATAACCTACTCTTGCTGGCCTGACGCAGTCAAATTCCTATTCAAGTCAGCAGCTATTTGGAGCATACAAAGTTTCTTCCTAAAAAAGAAGAAAGGGGCAGAAGGCAGAACAAGTTCACGGCAAGAAACAAACTGATAACAAGGAACTGAATTAAAAATGTTCATAGAAAAATTAAAAATAATGGAAATTAATATCCACATAACACATAATACCCACATAATTAATATAGATAAACAAAATAAATCTTCCCTCCCAGGTCACAAATTCCTGATGCTACCTTGCCCTTCTAAGCAGGGAGAAGGAGAGCATAGCTACCAGTTGGTAGGTAAGGTACCAAAATGCTTCTGAAATAGCAGGTTTGGTATCATGACAGCTGCTGCAGCCTTCTACATTCAAGTAACAGACTAAAACCAGCTCTGCTAGAATATAATTTGTATTTATCCTTCCATGATAATGTTTTTAAACTAGATTTCTTCCAAAGGGGTAACAGTTCTAACAAGGGTACCTTGCTAAAACTGAACAGAGAAGAACCTCCACAATAGGTAGACATGCCCTATGAACTGCAAGTGCCAGCAATGAGCCTTGGCCCCCAATTTTCAGAGGGTTCCCCCTTTTCAGACTAGGGGTTATTCAGCACATTGTTCTAGTAATTCTAAGGCATTTTGCAAAAGTTGTCTACACAGGAAGAGTTTGCCTAAGTGAGGAGGCCAGGATTGGGCTCCTCTTTATATACTCTGTTCCTGCTTCAAGCAAGCATTTTAGTGCATGATCCTACTACATTACACACCTCGTTAAAAAAAAAAAAAAAAAAAAAAAAAAAAAAAAAAAAAAAAAAAAAAGAAAACAACAAACTCTGTTTCATTTTGCTTTCATGAGCAATTTACATTTCATTTGTGATTTTTAAGCAGAAAACCCTTGGCACCGATTTTACAGATGACATACTGAAAAGGTTGGGGGTTTTTGTTGCTTTTTTTTTCTCTTAAAGAAAATAGGATTAGAGGTAGAGGCTTTTATATTCTACCACTTCTGAGACATATGTTCTGCTCTCCCACCAGTTATGAAGTGATTACTGGAGTGGCACAAACAGATTTTTTTTAACAAAGTGAAGGTGTGATTTTCTCAGGTTCTCTGAGAACATGCACGCTTATTTTTACCAACCCAATCTGTTTTCCAGTAGTTTAATGTCCGCAGGGTTTATAAGGCTATCTTAGGTGTCGGATTCAACGCAGCTTGCAGGGTGCTACCTGACTTTGGAAGTTTAAAGAAAAAGACACAAAGAAAGCAGAAATGATACAAGACTCAAAGTAACTTGGAGACTGATTTAAATATACAGAAAGACTGACCTTCTTTGCCGCTTGCCCATATACGGTTCTCTAAAGCCTGAAGGCCCTCATATCATAAATACTTGCTTCATTTTAGAAACCTCAGTGAAGATCTATCCCTAAATAATTTACATATACAGCCGGGCTTTCAAAAGTATTATTTTTACTCCACAAAAAGGAATTTGATCTTATAAACACTTACTGCCAGGAACAGCAATTCCCATGTGCGAAATGGGACTTGATTTCTTGCACCTTGCCTATTTAAGCTGGCCATAAAATGTTACCAAAGGCACAAGTGAGGAGATCTCATTTAATATCAATTCACACTCTTTTTTTCAGGTATACAAAAACCGAGACAAGGAGATTTCCCTACAAGGAGGTGTAGGGAAAGGGTTCATACCTGTATTGGACCGCTCACCTATTTGAGATACTGACACAAAAATCTATAAACACACTGACAGAAGACAGTACCTTCCAAGAGACTCTTAAAGCTAAATTTTGGTCTGTTATACTGGGACAAATTTAGAATAACCACTTCAAATGCAGTGAAGTTACTCAGGACCAGAGGAAGTGAGAACAAAATTTGGCAAGGACTGTACAGGGAAGTAGTCAGTTAACATTTAATACTTGATGAAAATCTTCAGGTCGAGTGTCTGTACAAGAATTTACACTGGCTTAAAAAACAGTTTATCTGAAAATCTTTTCATGAATATATTTCAGACCGCCATGTCTCATCTTAACCCATAATTTAGCAACACAAGATAAAGTGTAGATTTCCAGCCTGGTTGAAACCTATGCATTTGAGCTTCTGCAAAGTTTTGAAGCAATTTTAAGCATAGTACTCCTGAAAAAAACTTCCTTTTGTTAAATCACTGAAACTTTACAGGTAGACAAAAGTCTTACATATGACAATATGCTTTAAATATGTTTCTGCTCAATGACTTTACTTTGTCAGTGCTATTAAGACAAGGGGTTTGTAGGGTGTTTTGTTGACACAGGATAGTTTAGCCCTCCTAATCAAGATTTTTCCCAAGAAACAGTCTTCATCCTTACCTCTACGATGAGGGATCGGACAGTGAGGTCAAAGTCATTAGTCCCTGACAAAAGCCTTAGCAGGTCCCACTAAGCACTCTCGGTAGGATTTTTTGTTGTTGCTTGTTATTTTGGATGAACAGTACCCCCTCCTTGCAGACTGGGCTTTTCAGTGCAGCCTCATACAAGTTAATCTGGCCACACTCACAGGAGCAGCAAGGTCTTGTGTTCAGCAGCAGAGGTGGTGGAGACCCTTTAGTACGGGGAGCAGAGGCACTTCGGACCCCTTTGAAATGCAGCTTTCATGAAATCAGAAGTTTAACTGTAAAGTTAAAAGGAAAATGGAGACTGGGAAAAATTCTACACGTCGAAACTTAGAGAACAGATAATCCTTTTGTAGGAAGCATCTAGAGATAGCCTTGGTCATTTTCTCTATAGACCTCTTACGATACCAAAGGCACTTCTGACTTCAAAGTTGTTCTTATAGCTTTGTTTTTCCCTGCTTGCCCGTTACACTATTTCCTACTACTGAAACAGCTCCCCAGTGATGGAATCAGTGATGTTTCACTCATTTTTCATGTAAGATCCCCATCCCCTCTTATCCCACTCCTTTCTTTCCTCTTGGATTTAGCAAATTTGTATCAGACAAAGCTATGAAAAAATAAACATTCTCCTTTTAAAATTTACTACATATCTTGTATTATCCTGTAACTGTATGATGGTCTTCTCAAACACCTTGAATTAATAAGTTATTTTTATTGATTTTTACTATCTGCTTATTGCCATCATTTAAAAAAAAAAAAACAAAACACCAATGGAAATTAAAGTGCAATAATCTATGGCAATGCAAAATGTTAAGTACCTTTAGATCCACAGAGGCAAGGAAATTAAAAGAGGCTTAAACTCTGAGCTAATGCTTCATCCTTAATTCATTCTCTTGTGCCCATATATTGAAGTCTCAGCACAATGAATCTGTGAAAGGACACATTAATGTGTTGTGGAACTGGTGTACAATAAATTGATAGGGAATTTAATGTAACTCTGATCAGAGACTGGGCCAGAGATTTCAGTGATGAGTAATACCAGGCAAAGAATTTACATTTTAATTCGGGCTTTCCTTGAATTTTTGGCTTTAATTCATACTCCAAATACTTGGGAAAGAAGGCTTCTGCTGAGGCATCCTATACAAGGCAATGAATGTCTGACAGCACTTAGTACTTTGTGATTTAATTGCATTGGTATTTCTTAAAAATAAGAGGTCATATGTCACAAAGCAACATCAGGGTCTGAACCTCTTCTCTTAAAGACTACCAAAAATTATTAAGTCCTGTTTACAACAGGAGAAGCATACTAGTCCTAACATCATAGAGTATGTTTGTACTCACAAAGGGCTCACAAGATCTCATAATCCCATATTCTAATGAAGCAAAAATATCTTACACGGTATTAACACCAAATCAAATAAAAACTCATGCTCCATGATAGATTTTTTTCAAGAAGAAAAGGCTTGCTTTTCAAAGTTCTTTCTGCCCCAAGCCTGCTTTTTAGATTTGCTGTGAAATGAAACACAATTTTAAAGAGTGGAGATTCGGAAAAAATACAGAAATGGTGTAATCTTTCCACTGTAAATACTCATGCTGAAATGGCAAAGGGAAGTAGAAGCTGTGTACAAAATCACTGCAAATAAATTGCTACATGTGCTGTATCTCGTAGAACTCCTGAACAGTTTTTATTACATTTTTGTTCATTGGAGATTGCTATAGAGATCTCTGCATTGCAAGTAGCCACACCATTTCAGTGCTTTGCTGTTTCAGAAGAGCAGATTTTCTTGATTAATAACAAAAGGTTTTGTTGGGATCAGAGCTGTTTCCCACCATCTCTATGCAAACCCGGCAACACAAACTGTGTACATTAGCATTTCAAGGAGCCTCCTATTAATGATGGCAAGAAAAGCTCCTCTCGGTGGGTAAAATCCATTTTGTCCTCTCTTGTGACATCTGTTCTAACTTTTAAAGCCAGAAAGGAAACTAGATAATGCCAGAGAGTCTTTTGATTTACTGTATTGGCACTTGTGATGATGCTTCAGACTATAAAAGCATGTAACCCTAGTGGACATACATGACTGTGTAAATGTGAACATCTGCATATTCCCACAACATAGGGTGAATTGAAGAAGTAATTCCAAAGTTCTTTGTTAAACTTTTAACTAGTTTTTTTTTTTTTTTTTCAGGATTTCATAATTATGCTTTCAATTACTTCTATACCATACAAAACTCAACATTTAAAATAGTATTTTTATGTAAATGTTTACTGCTACATATGTTTTTTGAATTAATTTCATTTCCCGAAAGCTTTTCTTTTTTTCACATTTTTTTGTGAGTAAAGACATTTAAGCAAATAGAGTTGGAGAAACTGAAATATGGTTAAAAAAATAAAACCCAAAACAGGGTAGGATAAGAAAAAGTAAACTAAACCCTGCAGATTTCTTACCTCTTTACACCATCTGTGCAGTATTGCTCTTAGGCCTTTTACATTGGTCATCCTGGGAACAAAGCTGAAGGCAGATTCCAGCAGTTTTTCCATTCACTATTCATTCAGAGGTTCATCAGCTCCATATGGATCCAGCCAACTGCTGTGTTAAATCAGAGCCTTTTCCCAGAATTGACATGGTAATGAAGTCATGGTATTGCTCACAGAAAAGGCCTCCATAGGTATTTTCCTCTCTAACAAATCCAGCCTTTTCACCCCATTCACTCCCTAAAATTATCTCATAACGTTACAACATCTGTGAACTGGGTTTTTGCCTTTTAATGTCTAGCATGTTTTATTACATGACTATGCATTACATACTGGTTAACAAGACTCCTACACAACCAAGTAAATAAAATAAACTTGCACTCTTCTCTTTCCAGCTCAGACTGTTTCATCCATTTTTCTTTTAATTTATACCTGCTCTATTTATTTTTCTCCAGATAGAGCTGTCCAAAGTAGGGATGTACAAGATGAACTTAATTTTTTCTGATTTCTATCAGAAAGAGGTTTTAGAAATATTTCAGGACAAAAAACTGTTCAACCACAAAATGGTAAATCCATCAATACAAAAAACTGCTAAAGAGAGACTGTGTTAATGGCAACTATGTTCTAACAGTTTCCTTTGGTTCATCAGATGTATGCATCTGAACTTCAACGGCAATGGTTCAATATTTGTTAAAGAACAAATATGAGAAGGTTTATTTCTGTAATATACCATCTGCAATGAATATGTAGATACTGACTTGATAGGACAACATGAGGTAGTTTTATTGAAAAACTATCTTTCTCACAGTAATAATGTACCTGGACAAATATGATCCATAAAAACAGGTATCATTATAGATGTGTATGTCCAAGGTTAGCCATATACTGACTGAAGAGAATAGTTCATTACTCACAGTTAGTGTAGGCTTTTGAGATGTTTTGTCAGTATGTATTCCACTTCTGGTCTGCATGTATCCAAATACTTTTTTTTTTTTTTTGTATGAGTAACACTGTGTCCTAGTAGACTGGCATTTTGGATTGGAAAGTAGAAAGATGCGGCACACACAATCCCTCTCCTGCACCCTAGCATAACATCCATCCAATCAGTAACTGAGGGAAGCAGTATGGCTTACAAACAGATAGTGGCTCAAGATCAGAGTCACAGTGGGTTTATGAGGCAAGTGACTAAAGACTCTTCTTAGAGAAACTGTGGTATCCCTCTCAAATCTCAAGTACTCTTCACAGTGCTGGTCCCAGCATCTCAAGATGGATGTAGTAGTTACTGAATGTACAGAAAAGGGTAACTAAAACAATCAAAGGAATAGAGCAGTTGCTCTAAGAAGGAACAAGTGACTAAAAAAGATTAGGGCTCCAATTTGAAGAGGAAGTAGCTGAGAGAGGGAATATAAGTAAGGTTTATAGAATCATGAAGGTAGTAGAAAAGTTGAAAGTAGAACTCTTCAACAACTTTTGCAATACTAGAATTAGGGGTCACAATGAAACCAGTAAGAGATCAATTTAAAAGAGGTAAAAGTACTTTTTTACACAGCACGTAGTGAACTTCTGGAACTTGCTGATGCAGAAGGAAACTGCATCTGTAGGATCATTAAAAAAAAAAAAGAGATAACTTGATGGACCAAGACTCCATAAGTAGATACTGAAAGGGCTAAGCAAAGCTACACTCTAACATCCCTACTACAACTGCTCTGTGTGCTAGGGAGGTCAAGGGGAATGAACTGCAGAAACTGGTCAGGCTAGTATGGTCCCCCTATATAACATCTCCTGTATCTGCTTTTGGAGACAGAACACCTAGGCAGCTGG